GGGGACCCTCAGAACTCGCAGGGACCTTGATCCAGGGCGGAGGTTGCGGCGTTCATGATTTTCCTGACCCCGTGTTGCCAGATAACGAGTGATATTTTGAGGATATAATTAACACACGGTGCCGGGGCAAACTCACCGTCAGCCGTGGCGTGAAGGGAGGACAACACCCAGCATTGAGAATGGTCTTTGCCCAATTTCCTCTGTCTAAAAACAAAACAAAATAAAACAAACCAGTTGAATTTCTTCCTCCATCTTAAAAAAAAAACCCCAAATAAATAAATAAACAGGAATTGCTTTTCTTGTTCTCTCCTGTTTGTTTGACTTGCAGAACTGCAAGGACCCTGGCGGGTTTTTTTCCCTAATCGAACTGGATTATTATTATTTTTTATTTTTTTTTTTTAAAAAGAAAGCTTATATTTTAATGGATAAAATTTATATATTTTAAATACTCTATTTCAACAGATTTGACAGATTTGCGTTTTGAGAAATCTTATAGCAATGATTCCGTTATATATATATATATGTGTGTATATATATATATATAATCTATCTCTGTATCTCCTTAACACACAAACTACTGGATGTTTTAAGTCATACCTAGGACTGGTCAGGCCTGGTTAGGACTGGTTAGGCCTGGTTAGGACTGGTTAGGAGTGGTTAGGACTGGTTAGGCCTGGCCTGCTCTGCCTACCCACCTCGGCTCGTGGGCGATACCTTTCCGTGCCCTCTCACACACACCACAACCCTCATTTTTGGGGTCAAAACCAGGCATTTTGGACCCAAACTGAATCCTGCTCTTGTCCCCAGCTGTGAATTAGAAAGAAATTAAATCGTTAGAGCTTTGCCTGGATCTAAAAGAGCAGCGCAGAGAGAAGTAGCGATGGCCTCCATCTGCCCTTTGCAGTCAAATAAGCTCAGGAGGGAAACCCACAGCTTTTATTCAGAATTCATGTCATTTTTTTTTTTTCCCCAGTATTTTGAGCTAAAACCTGCACTTCCCAAGTGCATTTAGATTTTTAATTATTTTTCCAAGCCATCTTCTCCTTCCTCTTTCTCCCTGGAGCCCGAATCAGACTTCCCAGAGCAGTTTCCTTCTTTTCTGGTGGCATTTGTGCAGGTTTCATCCAGGTTTGGGCTGCTGGGTTCACTCTGAGCAAGCCTACCCCACCAAAAAAATAGATTTACACATTGAATGTATCCTTTTTTCCCCTTTTAAAATAGATTTTTGCAATCCCAACGCACCAGGCCAGTGTCTTAAATATCTTCTTTTTTTAAAAGATTCCATCAGTATTTAGGGGGATTTTTTAATGTGTTAATTATCTCTTTTTAAATCCGAGCTGGGTTGGAAGTGTAGGAGGTTAATGCCTGAGCTGGAGCTTGTTCCCAGTTAAAAAAAGTTTAATGGGATCCCTCATACCCGCCCAGTTTGCCAAACCTCACCTTTACTGGGCAACCAGCCGGCTTCCCCCCAAAACCAGAGCCCACGTCCTCACGCTGGGTCCATTGGGTCCAGGTTGATGGAGACCTTTGGATGTGGCATCAAAAGCTGTTGTGGTCGCAGCAGCTTTCGGGAAATCATCGAGGTGGGATCGATCTTTGATGAAGTTGTGTGCCCACAGGTTTTTTTTTAGTCAGATGAAGCTGCTGGCTGCGTTTCTACCTTCGTTTTTGCTTAAGGACTGAGGAAAACATGGGTTGTTTTGTCACCTCGACCTTCTCATCTTCTTACTGAGCTGAAATCCACCCGAGGCCACGTCGGGTTTGAGACTTGAGGTGATGTCAAGCTGGGATGAATGTTTTCTTAATTTAACACTCTCTTTGTGTAAACTTGCACAAAAAAAAATATATAATAATTGTCTATAATTACACTTAAAAGAGCAGGAATTCCCAGCCTCTACCTTTTAAAGGTCAGGTATGACGCTACCTTGGCCACAATTGATGCCAGCTGAGAAGTTAAATACCTCTTGCTGAACGGTGAATGCAGCACAAGATCTGCAGAGGCCATAAAATGAAACCAACTATTTATTTCCACTTACCTGAAAGTCATTTTCTAACCCTCCTCCTCTCTGCAGCCACCTTCTCTCCGGGATGAAGGTGGTCCTTGCCGGCTGTGGGACAGTGCGAGCGTGCGAGCATCCTCCCGAAATGTGAAGCTGTCTTCTCTTGTGAAAAATAAATTAAAAGAAACTAAAATAAAATGAAATAAACAGGTCAAGAGATTGCACGGCCGGTAGCGCTGGAGGGGCTGAGGGTTGGGTTGATGACAGAAGGACCGTGTCTGCCAAAGATACCACCAACTCCAGAAAGTTGCTTGCTGACCCTTCGGAGCTTTCTAAGCGGGAAAAACCATATGGAAAGATTTGTGTTTGGAGTCAGTGAGATGAGATAAATGAAGGAAAAGTGCCAAAAAAGAAGGGATGACGCCAGGTGATTGTATAATCTTGTTCTATATCGTCAGTATTTTTCTTCAGACGCTCTTGTCCGCGCGCAGCGGTCGCGAAGCGCAGCTTGAACAAGCGCTTCTTTGTGTTTTCTCAACGCAAGTCACGAGGGGGAGGTCGAAGCCTTAAAGACTATCACTGATTTTATAACCAAGCCTTTAGCAATGCTCCCAGGACAGACCCCTGGGGCTCCATCTGGACCCTCCAACAGCCCTTTGCTGTCCCCAGTTGTCCGGCGATAGGTTGACAAGGAGCTTGTCTCGTTCACCAGGGGAAAAGTTTTGATGGGAAACAAATTTTTGATGGGAAACAAATTTTTGAGGGAAAAAAGTTGGATGAAAATCCAGCTCCTCTCACCAAATCCAACACCTCTCGTGTTGGGGAACACGAGATGAAAATTAACAACTGTTGGATGTGATGCTTTCACGTGGCAGCTTGATGGAAATCCGTGGCACGTCCCCGTGGATGACAACTGGGTGGAACTGGGATGTGACACCGGTTTGAACTCCAGCGTGGAAGCTGGGCTGATCCTCGTGTGTCACACGCATCGGAGACAAACCTTCCTCTTCCTCGTGTCTGTAAAACACGGCTCTAGAATTCGCTCTTCACTATGCAAACAGCAAAACCTTCAGCTGGTTACAAAGGAGCTTTGTGTGCACCTGGTTTCCTTGGTGTTTCCTGTCCAAACTGTTTCAAACAAATCTAGATGTTGCTACACTTCTTTATTTTTTATTTTTTTCCTCCAATAACGCTTTAAATCGTCGTGCTTTCGTGTTCTCAGCTCGCCAGCGGAGCACCGGGGCAGTGAAAAAACCCTCGTGGTCGTTTGAGGTCTCAGCTGAACCAACGTGGCTTCATCTGGATGTTTTAAAAAGCGGTGGAAGTTTCTGAAGGGCTCTTGACTTGCATGTGTAAAATGTGTGGGTTAAAAAATGACATGCAGGTGTCTGTCATGTTGTGGCTTCTGTTACTTGGGAGAGAATAAATCCCACTTGTGAAAAAAAAAAACCCAATTGTCACAAACCAGAAATATACCAACTGTGTATGAATAAGGTGTGACCAGCAAAGAGGACTTGAGCTGCAGGACAAAGGCTGAGGTTAAAACAGAATAAAACCAGGTTCTGACAGTGAACTGGCTGTTTCTGCTGAAGTTGCTGTGCTGGGAAGTAAGTGGGATCCTCCTGCTGCCTGTTCCAAGCAGGTTACAGGTGTCCCAGGTGGAATGAGGTTGTTGAGTAAAGTTTTGCAGGGGAAAAAAATGGTGAAGGTGATTAGAATCATAGAACCCCAGACTGGTTTGGGTTGGAAGGGACCTTAAAGCTCATCCAGTCCCAACCCCCCTGCCAGCAGCAGGGACACCTTCCACTAGACCACGTTGCTCAAAGCCTCATCCAACCTGGCCACAAACACTTCCAGGGAGGAGCAGCCACAACTTCCTTGGGCAACCTGTTCCAGTGTTGCTTGACCACGAGCCCTCCTTGTACAACCCATCGGTCAGCGCTGACCAAAACCTCCCTGCAACGCCCAGAGGGTGCAGCAGTTTTTCTTACAAGGTCAGTTTTTGCTGAGGGATGGGTGAGCACACACGTTATTTTCTGCAGAGCAGACACTTTTCACCTGTGCCCATGGCAGGGTGGTGGCTGTGTCGGTGCTTTCACTGATCCCAGAATTGCCTGGATTGGAAAAGCCCTTTAAGATCATTGAGTCCAACCATGAACCCAACACTGACCAGTCCCCTATGACTAACCCATGTCCCTCAGCACAGTGTCTACACGACTCTTCAATCCCTCCCCTGGCACAGATGAGCTGCTTTCCCAGCTGGGAAAGGCCCAAAAAAGCCCCTTTTTGGCACGATTCTCCTCCCCAGTGCAGACTGACCCGCAGTGGAGCTGGTCTCCTTGGCGAGAAAGGGATTTCCAAGCTGGAAATTGCTGCCTGAAGCCTGAGATTAATCTTGTCACCACACTGGATTTTCCAACTTCAGGAGGGGAAAAATGTCTCAAAACAAGTTTATAGAGTCACAGAATATTGTGAGTTGGAAGGACCCACCAGGATGATGGAGTCCAACTCCTGTCCCTGCACAGGACAATCCCAACATTCACACCATGTCCCTGAGGGCCTTGGCCAAATGCTGCTGGAATCTTGTCAGGCTTGGTGCCATGAGCACCTCCCTGGGGAGCCTGTTCCAGTGCTCCACCACCCTCTGGGTGCCTGAAGAACCTTTTCCTCATGGCCAACCTCACCCTCCCCTGCCACATCTTCCTGCCATGTCCTCTGCTCCTGGCATTCGTTGGTGACCAGAGAGAAGAGATCAGTGCCTGCCCCTCCTCTTCCCCTTGGGAGGAAGTTCTAGACCCCCATGAGATCTCCTCTCAGTCTCCTCTTCTCCAGGCTGAACAACCCAAGTGCCTTCAGCCTCTCCTCACACCCTTCCCCTCTAAACCCTTCACCAATTGTTGTCTCTGGACACTCTCCTGTAGCTTCAGATCCTTTTTTTACAAAATAACACACATTTCATCCAAGAGGACCAAGGTGTGGGACACTTTATTCAACCCCTGACTAAACTTTGGGCATTTTCTTGGCCATTCTCTTCCCTGGCAGCTGTAGCTGTTTGGGGCTCCCTTGTTTAGATGTTTCCTCAGCAAGAAGAGCTTTTATCACCTGCAGTTCACCCAGCGACTTGGTCATCTCCTCCCCGACGGTTGTGGTGGGGATCTCAAACACCTCCTGGAATTCCTCCATCAGCCTCCGTGCTTCCCAGTATGCCCTGGGGTTGGATTTCCTCTTCTGCAAAACAGACACTGGAAAAGACCAGGGATGTGAGGAGAGCGATGGGACAGCTCCTTGGCTGCAATATTTCATCTTCCCTCCCATGCCAGCAGCCCCAGTGTTTTCCTGTCCCCACAGCATGGAGGACATCACTGTAGCAGGGACACAAAGGTGGCTGCTGGGATCCAGCTCAATCCTGGCACCCAGATGAAACACAGGAGCCCCAAAAGCAAAGATCCTGGTGGTCTTGGGCAACTCAAGAGTGAAGAGAGATAGTCTGGGGTGTCACCTGGGCAGTGGCTCTTGCTGTACCCTGCAAAAAGTGTCTGAATTTCTTCCCTCCTTTCCTCTCCTCTTCCCTGATGGGTGCAGAAACAGAACTGGGGAGCAGCCAGGTCCTGCTGGCACTGGCAGGTCAGGATTGTACCACCATCAGGACTGGGATGGAGATCAAACATGGTCTGTGCTCAAAGACCCAAGTCCTGCTTCACCTCAGGGACAAAACCTCTGTTACTCCTTCTCCCAACAGCTGGGTTTGGGGTGGGGTTAATCCAGCTGTGGATCCAAGGGACCCCAGCAGCATCTGTGCTGCATTTAACCCTCTGATGACCAATAACCAGAGCATCAGGGTCCAACCTTGGTGGTGGGTTGAGGGTG